AGAGAGAGAGAGAGAGAGAGAGAGAGAGAGAGAGAGAGAGAGAGAGAGAGAGAGAGAGAGAGAGAGAGAGAGAGAGAGAGAAAGAGAGAGAGAGAGGTTTGGTTTATAGAATAAATATATAGCTATATATATTGTTGCAAAAGTAGATGATAGATACAGATAATTGTATGTATATTCATGTGTGCGTGCCTTTAAATGTATGCCCGTGATCGTACGAATGAGTACGCGAGCGTGTGCGTATCTTTGTGCCTGTGTCCGTATGCATGTATGCAAACACACACGCGCACATTCATCATCCTACCCCTTTACTGACCACCCTCTGACCCCCTGAACCCCCCAGGCGAGCCCAATGGCAACGCAGGGAACGAAAACTGCGGCGAGATGCGAGCGGACACAGGCAAGTGGAACGACCTGCCCTGCCACCTCGCGCGTGTGTTTGCGTGCAAGAGCAAGGCCTCTGCCACGCCCGTCTCGCCAGTGCAGCCCACGACCACGCCCTATCCTGATTGTGAGTGGGGGATGGGAGGGGAGAGGGAGGATTGAGAGGGTGGATGGGGGGATGGGAGGGGAATGGTTGTTGATGGGAGGATGGGAGGGGACAGGGAGGGAGGATGGGAGAAAGTAGGGGAAGTGGGATGGGGGGAAAGGAGGGAAGGAGGAAGGATGGGGTAATAGGGGTAGGAGGGAGGGAGAGGGAGGAAGGTAGGAGTAAAAAAGAAGGGAAGAAAAGAGAGGAAGAGAGAGAAGGAAGATTGGTTCATGGATAAAAAAGGAGGGAAGCAGATTTTAGGATTAGATGGGGAGAGGGAGGAGGAGATGAGAATGGAGGTAAAAGGACGAAGGATGAGGAAGACAAGGAAGGTAAGAAAGAGGAAGAGACGGAGGGTAGAAATGGGAGTAATATGGGTATTAGAATAGAAGAGAAAGGGACAATGAGGTGTGGGAGACTACAGAATAAGAGAAATTAGAGGGAAGAAGAACAGAGAAAAAAAAGAAAAAAAGGCAAGTATATAAAAGGCCTAGTAATACATAAAAGACAAACGAATATAGGGTAGGAAGGAACCCAAAATGGACAAACAATGTCCAAAATAAACAAAACCATGTAGATAGATGAGCAAGTTATCCCTTTAAAGAATAAATTGGTTCCCGATGCATCACATGATACGTTTTCTGTAATATAAACTAAATTATCAAAGAAAACGGGTATGTGCCTACGATATATTTAAGACAAACTGTACAATGTAGGAAGCGATAAGGCAGGTATGGAAATTTGGGTAAAATTACCGCGGATAACAATCAGGGTTACAGTAAAAAAAAGATATGGAACGGTTACCTTGACGTAAACTGAGACACTTTTCATCTATGGCAAAAGGTGTGCAAATCGAAAATAAAGGAGTTACACGACAGAGAAGAGAGAAGACCCACCCATCATTTTCTAAGTCCCTCGCCATGTTGACATCGTGAATGTAAACAAAATTGTGACCAGTCAACTCATTCTTGCGCTCTGTTAAGTAGTTCATGCATTACTACGCCATTGGCAAAACTATATTTGGCTAATTATCAGTGTCTGCTGTTCCACATATATGCTTTCAAAGGCCTTTGTTAACATTGTTTTACCTCATTTTCATGTTTCAAGATTTGTTAGACAGTGATTTAAGGAAATCGGTCTGAAGCACCTTCTACACAGGCGTATTTTCGCGTTCTACCGCCGTTTGACAGGACGATTCCCAGGGCAGTCCGGTGACAGGAGAGGAGACCGGCGAGAAATGTTTCGGTTTTTGTCTTACGTCGATTCTAGGTTGTTCTTAAGACTATATAGTGGAAACGAAGAAGAAAAAGATCTTAATAACTATCGCAGTTCGATTTCTGAGGCCATCAAGTACCGCAAATCCCGAAAAAAGCGATAAAAACGAAGCGATCCACGATCCACGATAGACCGACCGAAAGAAGCGAAGGAAAATTGACAGTTCGGTCTTTCGATATATAGTGATATTTGGTTTATTGTTTACAGTATGGATGTAGCTCTATCTTGCCGTACATACCGAGGTGAAGAGAATGTGTCCCGGGGGGTGTTGGGGGGCTTGCCCCCCATCAACTCTCCTCTCGGAGGCACCGTAAATTGCTAGGTCAGGTTGGGTTATGGGTTAGGACGTTTTTTTGAGTTATTAAGGTGTGAAATCCCGTAGATATTTTGACGAAAGGTGGGTTGGATTCCCGTAGAGTTTTTCGAGCTGTGGCGCGTCGGTGCGTAGACTTTCAAAGGTGGCGGACATGTCCGTAGAGTTTCATTAGCCGATTTTTAGCGTTTTTGTGCAAGTTTTATACGTTTCTGTTTGCTATTATTCTTATTTAAGCCAGATTCATTCTCATCACATGAGAATAAATCTGATGATGTAAATATTGTCTGGGAAGTCCCGATTGTCATAATCGAAAAATTAACCGAAATTTGTAGTGTTAAGAATTACATATTGGCATATAAATGTTTATATATGCATGCACATATACATACATAGGTACATTTATACCTATATTTGTTCTTTTACTTCACCTGAACTTTTTATATTTGTACAAACGATCAATTTCTAACATATTCCCCTTCCTCCCCCCCTTCTCTCTCTCACACACACAAAAAAAAAACAAACAAACAAACAGATTCCGGCTGCGGTTGGGGCTGGACAGAGAACCCGGTGAGCGGCGAGTGTTACCGCTTAGAGCTTCAAGAGCTGAGCTTCGATGACGCGAGACATTACTGCATGGAGCTTTCTCACTACGAAGGGCAGAGCAAGCCGGATCTGGTATCACTGACCACGGCGCAGGAGCAAGATTTCGTGGATGGTGGGTTCTGGTATCATTGTTAGTGTCGTATTATTATTATTTTTTATGGTTATTATTGCTATCATCATTGCTAATGCTGTTGTCATTACTATTGCTATTATTTTTATCATTATCATTATTATTGTTGGTTATCCTTATTACTATTGTTAATATTAATGCTATTGTTGTTATTACCATTATTAATATTATCATTATTATCATCATAATTTTCATCATTATTAATATCATTATTATTGTTGTCGTTACTGTTAACGATAACAGTAATATTAATTGTGAGAGTAGTGATAGTAGTAGTAATATCGTAATAGTAGCATTAATAATAGCAGTAGCAATGCTAATGATAATAATGACAAGAACCAGAGCAATAAATAATAATCATGAGAATAACATCAACAATAATGACAAAACAAAAACGTCTAACAACAACAACAACAACGACCCAGCAAAACGCTGGAATTCTACAGAAATTCGTCTGCCAAATGGAAACAAAAGAGGACCGACAAATGGCGACGTCACTAGGGACTTTTTTCCCTGAGGGCCACATTTTTGTTATTTTTTATGGCTACTGATGTTTTGATGCAAAGGAAAAGTGTTTAAAACAAAAATGAGATATTTTCCATGTTCAAATAAATTAAACATGAAAATTATTGAAACCATCCTGGTATGAACGGATATAATTTTTTGACCGAACGTCATCGCGGCGGAAATTTCATCCGATGTCACTTTAGCCGGTCTTCTATCTAGGCGTCATCAAAGGCAGAGCCACAGTCCCATACAGTCACTTTAAACCTTCAGCCCTACAACACATTCGCTATGAACAGTCGTATATTTTTAGATAAATCAAATTTTTAAACACAATGTCGCATTTTCTTAATTTATACATTTAATACATTTTCTATAAGGAGATGCAGGTGCATTATGTTGTTGAATATTACATTACTGGCCTGGTAATGTATTTGTTGTATATTGTTTAATGCAGTACAATAAACAAGGACGTAACGCAGGGAATCATATAATTACCAGACTGATCCTGCAAGCTAATATTCATCGTTTATGATAGTTTATATTCCAATGTTATTATTTATATCCGTTTTATTTATCAACTGATGTGTAGAGAACGGCAGAAATGTTACTACGGAAAAGCAGACAGCCCTGACTAACACCCCACCCCTCAACTTCCCCCCTCTCCCCTTCTACACCCTTACAGACATGGTAAAGGAACAACACCTTAGCCAATCGACGCTGTTCATCGGTCTTATGAACAACCAAGACGGGCACAGGTGGTTAGATGGAACCCCTGTTCTTTTCTTCAACTGGAATGACGGAGAACCAAGCGGAGGATACCCGAGAGAGGAGTGTGGAGGTGAGAAGGGCGGTCTGATATTGTTTTAGATATGAAAATGAAGAAAAAAATGTTTGTTTGATTGTTTGTTTCTTAGATTGAATGTTTCTATGGCTGTTTGGTTGATTTATTATTTGTTTGTATGTTTCTTTCATTTTTCCTTCCTTCATTTCTTCATTCCTTCCCTCTGTGCCAATTCCTGTTTCTCTGTGTACAGCTTTTCCTCCGCTTTGGCATATGATGCGTATGGTCCTTGTCTCACCACGTTCACTGTATCGATTTTGAAGACGAGTGAGACTTTTCATGCATCCAAACCATCATCTTTTTTTTTTACTTTTTTTTCTCGAAAATTCGCCAGGGGAACGTCTGGGGTAAAATCATGGAATTTCAAGTCCATGAATTACTGTTTTTTTTGGTTTTATTCTTTTGGATTATTATTTTTTTTTATAGTGAGGCTATTTCGCTTTTTTCTTTTGTGTGAAAAGATAAGAGAAAGTGAAAGAAAGAAATTAGGAGAAGAAAAAGGAGGAAGACCTTTATTTTTTGTTAATCATTACTATGATTTTTAGAACTGATAAATCGATAAGATTTTCAGTTATCAATTTAACTAATCAAATCGTCTTTATTTAAACTGATGATGGTTGCCTTTCATAGTAACCCGAAATAAAAGTAACACAACCCCCCAAAAAAGAAGAAAAAACAATAACTTATATTGCATTTGTATTAACTAATTGTAAAATGCACATTATACCACCATATCTTTCACTGCAGCAAATATGTGGCAGACTGTATGCACGTTTTGGTTTTGTCTAAAATTTCCGTCCCTTTGTGTAACTAACTGAATGTGAATGACTGTGACTGTATGTGAATTGTCTGTATGCAAATGGCTGTATGTGTCTAGTTGTATGTGACTTACTGTATGTAACTGACTTTATGTGACTGATTGTATGTGAGTAGCTGTATGCGATTGAATATGAGACTGCATGCGACTGGCTGTATGTAATTGACTGTAAGTGACTGACTGTATGAGATTGCATGCGACTGGCTGTCTGTGACTGTATGTGAGTAGCTATATGTGACTGACTGTATGAAATTGCATGCTATTGGTTGTATGTGACTAACTGTATGTGACTGACTGTATGTGACTGACTGTATGTGACTGACTGCATGTGACTGATTGTATGTGACTGACTGCATGTGACTGACTGTATGTGACTGACTGCATGTGACTGATTGTATGTGACTGACTGCATGTGACTGACTGTATATAACTGACCGTACGCGACTGACTGTATTCGACGCTTCTGTCTAGTCTAAAAGTCTCTTTCTCTTTATGCGTCGTTGTAGCGACTTCCAAAGCAGGATTCTGAATGATATGCCATGCATGTTGTATAATTAATGGCGAGTTATTCTGAAGGGAGTGGGGCCATTTGCAATCACAAGTCTCCGCGTAATATAGCGTCGGTCGCTTAGTTGGTCGGCCAGTAGGTTAATACTGTAAGTAGGCAAGCAGATAGATATGGAGGCAGTTGGTCTGTCGGTCGGTCAGTCAGTCAGTTAGTCAGTCAGCCAGTCAGTCAGTCAATCAATCAGTCAGTCAGCCAATCAGTTGTTCAGTCAGTAAGTCAGCCAGCCATTTCATCAATCAATCAGTCAGTAAGCCAGTTTGTCAATCCGTCAGTCAACAATCAGTCTAACTTTCAACCAGACAGACGGCCACTCATTCAGTCTATTCATAACCAATCTACAGCACTCCGATACTTAAAACGTGTCCATATCAGCTGTGAGTCAAGCCCTTCACACAATAAGCAGTCTGTGGAGTGTGACCTGAATTTCCTGTCTAGTATGTATAGTATGGTTATACACACTTGCGTTGGTATAGTTGCAGAAAGGTGATATATAGTAATAGACAACAATGGATAGTTAGGAAATGGTTAAGTTGAAAGAATATGATTAAATATAGTTGACTGAAGCTTGAAAACATAGTCAATTTATTTACTTTCCAGTTGATTAGAATTTTTTTTTTACGTTATGTAAATACATATAGAGATACATTACAAGTATACATGGACGCGTGTAAACATAGATGCATACAAACATTCTTATATAAATTGATGTATATGATGTATCTCTCTCTCTCTCTCTCTCTCTCTCATTTCTTCTCTCTCTCTTTCTTTTTTTCATTCTCTCTCTCTCTCTTTTTTTATTCTCTCTCTCTCTTTCATTTTTTCATTCTCTCTCTCTCTCTCTCTCTCTCTCTCTCTCTCTCTCTCTCTCTCTCTCTCTCTCTCTCTCTCACACACACACACGCACACACACACACACACACACACACACACACACACACACACACACACACACACACACACACACACACACACACACACACACACACACACACACACACACACACACTCACACACATACATATATACGTGAAAATATCCTTTCTGATAAAGACACTCCCCACTTTCAAAAGGTAATTACACAGAGA